GCTGTTCTCGCCATAAGATCATGTAAGGACTGGGTTAAGCTAAATGACACCTTCTGACGATTTTTTTTTTTGGGTCAAATTTGAGCTTCTCGTCATGTGAGATCGTTGGAAAGAAGATTCAAAGTAATTAAGTCAATCTTGTCAAGTTAACCTTTTTATATATTAACAAAGATTCATTTGACATCTTTGTCTGGAAAACAAAGATTCATTAATAAGTCAAGCCTATAGCTAAACTTTATTTAGTTTCCTTGGATAGACATAGGATGAAAAGATCAATGCTACTTCAAACATCTTTCCAAGGATTTCAAAATGCTTAATGCGGCTGGATTTCATTTAACTTTCTTGATCTGCACCGATTTGTATTTTCTGAGTCGCAATCTAATTTATTTGACTTCGTGCTCATTGGTTGCTTGTGAGGAATATTTTGAGTGTGTAGTCATTATGTCCATTGGCAGCACGTCCTTAAGGCTGGAGTCATTCTCAAAGGTAGTCGGAGGTATGAGTTATAACTAAAGTTGCATCAAATAAGCTGTCTTGTAAACTGGAGGATCTTCTTTCTGGTATTAACAGTGTATTCTCTCCTAGAAGGTAGTCTAACCTCCTGTCCAACTTTTCGTTTATCCACGTCTTAGATGAACAATTATCAAAGAAATATATGTTCAATCTTATCCTCATTTTGGACTACTTTTCCAATTTTTTTTACTCGTTCACGAGAGGAAAATGGAAATGTAACAACTACTACCTATTTAGCTTAGAATGGTGTTTTTTTACAAGGAGAACGACAGGAAACTTATCAATAATGGATCTCATCAATCAATCAACTGCATCTTAGTTCCAAATAATTGGATTTTATATGAATTTATTTTATATGAATTACTTATATCCACTCTCTGTTGGGCTTATTTATTTCATACTAAAAAAATGTCTCTCAAGATGAACTAGAGGTATTAAATCTTGAGTTTCTCTACTCTTATACTTATCCTTAAATATACAGCTTATGGCAAGTCTCCACCAGTACTGGATTTGATGCAAGTATGACAACACAACTAGTCTTATTTCAACTAGTTGATTTTGCTTATATATGACATTTGCTTTCTTTGTGTTCTGCTGTTAGTTAAGTTTGCATAGTTTTATTATTTATAAGAGATTGGAGATACCTTGAGACTTCTCTTTGAGTAAGTTTTGTTCTACCTCATTTCCTTACAAGGGTTCAGTCAAACCAGGTTACCTCTGCCATTTATCGGAAGTGATCATTCATCTTAACATTCACATTTTTACCTACAGTCATTTACTCCCATAGTTGTTCTCACAACTGTTCAGCCTGTCATTGTCTCATACTGTATTTTCTTATTGCTTGGCATCTTTTTAACACTTCTTTAGTCATGCTAGTTTTATTCAATGTGTTACATCTTTATTTATCATTACATTTTAAGCAAAATTGGGTCTAGATGTCTGAATACATCTCATAGGTCTAAAGATTCTTTAAGTGTACCAGATCCGAGTAATTGCCAAATCTAGCCCCAAAAGAATAAATTTCCAGTTGAGATTCTAAATATTGCCTTTAGACTTGCTATAGCAAGTTTTTTTTTTTGTGTGTGTAAGTGATATTGGTTTGGGACAATCTTAAATGGAGCAACATGGTCCGTGAGGATTTAGCCGAACCCAACTTGATTGGAATTGAGGCATAGCAGTTGTTTATATGAACAACTTTCTGCCAGTTATAAGTCATTCTAGTTTACCTTTTTTTGGACATGCTATCAGAAGCTTTTTATATTTTTTCTTTTGGAAAAAATAATCACTCTATAAATGATTTTGTCTGTGTCATTCTTGATCTGGTAAATTGCAGTGGAGATACATTCTGAACATCGTAGAAGTTATTGTGATTAAAAAGATCATCATGCCCTAAAGGAAAACTGTGTTTCTTTTTTGAATCTGTACTCTTTTCCTCTATTTCTATATCCCATCTCTGGTTGCGTTACAAGTCTGTTAACTGCCTCACCATGTGGATATTCCTTGAGAACTATCTACTTATTGTTCCAGTGCAGACTTGTGGAGCTATTCTTGTAAATAATGATTAATATTTTATGGATTACGAATTTACGATTGCTACTTCTATCTTTCTGCCAGGATAACTGTCATCTATACTTACATTTTTTAACTGGATCAAAGATTTAAGAGAGTGCAGTACATAGTCTACATTCAAGGTCTAACAGTACAAATAAGATCCATTTTCTTTGAAATTTTTTGTGTTAATAGAGTGTGGATGGACTAAAAGCATTCTTTCTGCCATTTCTAGAGATCCAAAAGTTCGCTGGACTATTTATGTCCCTAACCCCCAAACTTTGTTAGCTAGACTACTTTTTGGTAACCTAATGGACTGTAATTTCTTGATAACTGGCAGGTGAGTTTATTTTAGTTGCGTCTTTTCATCACATGCTGTGTTGTTGTTGTGCTTGTATCTTTCTCCCAGCTTCAGGGAAGAAAAACAGACCAGATAAAGGTCTTCTATTGAGTTGTGAAATGTTCAATATCTGCAACTGTTTGCAGATTCACTGTGGGAGTCAACAAATTTTTCTTAAATTCGTTCTTGTGCAGCACTGAACACTGCATCTTTTTAACTCCCTCCCTCCTGTTTGAGCTCAATCAACTGGCCCAAATAAAGAGATTTGTTGTCAATTTGGTGTTTCTCGTTCAGCTCAGAAACTGGAAGTAGCAGTCATCAGTTGAGTAGCCCCTTACCTTTCCGGTCAAGTTTTGATGAATTTGATCACTTTGTATTCCTGATTTTACTCCGAGTGTGAGGTTGATTCTGTTATAATATCGTCACAACTGTATAACTGATTTTACTGCAAGTATGAGGGTATAATTTTCATTATGTTACTGTCTTTGTTCTTGAAGCAACATACTCTCAGGGGTTGTTTTGTTCACAGACTAGTTATTTGAATATTCTAATAGCGGAAAGTTGCGCGATGAATATTACAAGGGGATTGTAGTAGCAAAATCAAGAATAAACTTATTGTAGTATTGTGAATACATATGTCTTTTATTCTATGTTGTGTTCTTGTATAGAATGATCTATACGTTATCCATAGATATATGTATAAACTATTAATGCTAAGGGCATCTAGAAAATCTGTGAACCTTTCTTCCTTCTTACCTCATCGTTCTAGTTGGCAATTTCTGTTTTCTAGTTCGTGAACAGTGTTACTAGTTGAGAGCTAACTCTTGATATTAGCACTAGTTATGTTGCTTTTAAGGTTTTCCATATAGTTTACCAAATATCTAAACAATTTGTATTCAAAGCTTTTCAGCTACTCTCGACTAACTGTATGGTGTTGCGATCTTATGCTAGTTTATCTTCAGTTTTGAGAGCAGCTACTTCAGTGTTTTAGTGTTTTTGCAGGGATTGAATGGGAGATTATTTTTGCAACATTTAGATGTCTCTTGCTCTTGCTATTTGAAAGAGGACATGTTTTTTGCGACTTTTTTACTGCTTTTGGTTTCTTTCAGGAATTTTTGCAAATCTTCTGGCAGATGTGTAAAGCTTGGAAGGACAGAAATCTGTGTAACATTATTCTGATATTCTTCATTTTACTGACCATCGTTTCAATTTATTGTATTTGTCCTTTTCTTTGGTTCCGTTTTAGAATAGAATTCCTCTTTCCTTTTTTAGTAACTCTTTAATTTTAACTTCTCCCTTGAAGCCTTGACATGTTGAAGACCAGAAGATTATAGGATATTTAGGTACATTCTACACTTACTGTAGTTTAAGATCGCAAGATTAAAAATCTTCGTTTCTTAAACTCCATGTCAAGTCAAAACCAAAACCAGGCAAACAAATTGAAAGGGAAAGTATATATTAGCATCTGTATATATTTTATGGTGAGTGTTTTTGTTAACATCTATGTCTTCAGTTGATTTTATGTTTTTGTTTTCCTGTTCTATATCTGAAGTATATAATATCTTATTGGCAAAGCGCCATAATTTGTATTAAAATTTGTAATTTCAAGGGGTATTTGTGAAAGGTCGGGAGTTATACCTGAAATGTGAGCTTGCAAAACTTATTACTAGTGTCTTTACCATCAAGATGTTAATCTCATGGGACTTTAAACAATTATTAATCATTTCTTGGTGTTATTCTCATGATATTTTAATCATATCTAAATCATTTCGGAAGAGCAAGTGCAGAATTCCAATAAAATATTGATATAATAAATAAAAAGTGACATGTAAATGAAAAGGGTGGAAGTGAGTTTTCCCTTCTTTAAAATGACATTTACTTTGAAATTAGGCTAAACTCTTTTTTTTGTAATTTTAGTAAAAGAAATTAAAAAAAGAAAATCCCTAATGATGTTTGGTTGAAGAAAATCATTGCAAATAACACTTTTAAACAAGCTGGGGTTGGTCGTCAGCTACCAGCTTCGAGTGTGTATGCATAACTTTGATGTTATTGTCTCCTGTTCCTATGTTTTAAGTTTTACTAATTTTTTTTTCTAGATTTTGCCGGAGAACTGGTTGTGCCTGGGATGGGTTAGTTAACAAGTAAGAATGGATAGAAGGAACTGAAAAGTTACTGGAAGTGACTAATGATATCAGTCATTCTTCATATGACTTTTGGGGTGTGTTTGGTATGGAGGAAAATGTTTTCATGGAAAGTTGTTCTTGGAAAATAAGTGGGTTCTTTACCTTCACTAGGGAAGTCATTTTTACTTATTTTAAGGTGCTTGTTTTTTTAGAGAAAATCTTTGACCAACCAAACATGGAAAAATTGGAGAACATTTCGAGAAAATGTTTTCCTTCATACCAAACACACCCTTGATGAAGTCTGAAATCCTGGTCTTCTTCAGTGTCCCTGAAGCTCTAGAGTCATTCCTCATGTTGAGAAGAATCTAGAGAACATTGCTCTTTACCTGATCATAGGATATGGTATAAAGTGCCTCTACCTGCCTGAAGTAAGATAGTTTTTTCTCTTTCTGGGAAGTAGGGGGTAGACCAGTATATTAATGTGACATTTCAAATATGAAAAAACGTTAAGTTTAGTAGTAATAGTTTTTGACAATCTACTCATCATAGTTTATTCTCTTTCTGGGAAGGAGGGGGTAGACCAGTATATTAATGTGACATTTCAAATATGAAAAAATGTCAAGTTTAGTAGTAATATTTTTTGACAATCTACTCATCTAAAAAGTGAAGTAATATGAGTGATGAAGTTCCATCAGAAATCATTCTCAGATTCACTACTTGCTATTTCTGGTGTAAAGTATGTTATTAAGTTATGGGACCTCACAGGAGTTATTGGTCGTGGTGATCGGGGTGGTGATGACTCTACAGTTGCTGCACTCTTCTTCTGTACTTTCTTTGTGATATCAACACACACCTTGTCAACCATGTCGAGAAAGTCTTTCACAAATGCAAACAACTGAAGTGACTGTGTGCTTTTTTCCTTCGAAGTTCCTGCTTGGTAATACTCTGTCGTTCTCTTGACAAGTTCCATAACTCTTGTTTGTTCTTCTCTGATCAGCTTGAGTTCCTCTTCACATTCCTCTAGAAAACCTTTAGTCTCTTTTACAAATTGATCCCTTTCAGCAATTCCACAACACGTTATGAGATGCTTAACGTCATTTACCCGTGTTGTAAGAGTGGAACATGTATTGATGAAACTATCGTAGTCTATGGTAGCTGCTTTCTTTACATTAGAGAATTCGGAACTTAATCCTTGCAATACTGGTAAACCTAGTGTTAGGTGCTCAGTATCTTTCTCTACTTTTTCTGTTTTTCTATCGGAATCATCCTTGTGACCTTTATTGATAAGGCAACGTTTACCTTCAGAACAGATGACTTGTTCGACTACAAAATGAAGCAGAGTAGTCTTTCCATCATTGCTTTTCACATATGATAGTTTTTGTAAAGCACTAAGGTTGAATCCCTGAGCATTTCCTCTAGCCGTTCCTGCATTCATCCGATTGCCAGCCTTAAGAATCGCTTCCAGAAGTCTTATAAAAATTCTACTTGTTCTCAATTCCTTACAACCCAGCTCAATTGTTTGTAGATTCTCCTTGAGGTTAAGAATTTCTGGATCATAGTTTGATCTGAAAAGCATCGCGTTGAAACGTTTAAATGCTGAAGGAACAGCTTTCAGCATTTGGTAGAGGAAAGACTCTGCGTCAGCAAGTTTTCTTGTGTTACCATCAAATTGAAGGATTTTAGACGTTTCTTCTTCAGTTGGGCAAATCTTGGTTAGTTTTTCTAGAGTGTCAACACTGAGTCCTTGGCCCTCCATCAGGGCATCAAGAATTTCTTTGCGAGAGACTGAAAGAGACTTTAGCACAATTGCTGTGTTCTGTGACTTCCTAGGATCGAGGATAAACATTTGAGTTGGTCGAGCCAACTTAGAAGTGCCTGAGCTTGTTGTCGCCCTATTTCCTTCAGGGGTTCTCTTGGAAGTGACATTGTATCCAAACAGAGCTTCCATAAGGTCATCTTCAAATCTGAAATGTGCATACAAATGCAATTTATTAGTTGTACTCAAAATAGGCACTAACTGCACTAAAGGGACTCAATTTTGCATGCCAAGGTGCACTTACCGGAAAGATCCATTGTTGATTTCATCCCAGACCATAGAATGATCAGCATTAGCAACGACTTTATCCCAGTGCAGTGGCCTCAATTTGACTTTAGTTTCACCGTTTTCTTTCGACTTCTCTTTGTTTTGAGCTTCTGCTTTATCTTTCCTGCTCCCATTCCCTCTTGGTGCAATAGGTGGTTTTATCAATGAACTTAAACCATCCCCCTTTGGTGGGGGGAATGGTGGAGACGATTTTATCTTTCCTGCATTAGGTGGTGTTGGTGCTTTGGCAATCCTCTTCATTGGAAGGGGAGGCGGAGGAGGAGCTGGTGCTGGTGGCTGAGGCGGAGGAGGTGGTGGAGCTGGTGGATGTATCGGTGGCTGAGGCGGATTTTGACTCGAGACAACTGCTAGTTCAGAAGGTGTTTCTGGCTGAGGCGGAATGATTTCCTTTTGTTGAAACAGTAATGAGGTTGATGGCTGTTTTGAAGATCTGCTTGCTGCAAAGAGCGAGTTAGTTCTTTGTTGTGATGCAGTAACTGCCTCTTTATTCTCATAGCTACCTACATTGCTACAATTTTGCAGTAAAGGCATTTCTTGAATGTGATCACTTGAAACTGGTTGCTCTCGTCTGCTATCAATCCTCTTCTCTTCCTCCCCATCCTCATCCTCGTCCATATGATTCACCCAAATCTTAGAAAAACAACTTCCTAGTTGGCTTCCTTCGAATCTTCTCAAATATATAACATCAAGCCCGTTTTCATCAACTATCAACCCTTTTAAAGCCCCAGTTTGCTGGAATTCTTGATGAGGCACTTCTCTACGAAAACTTGAATTCAACTTGTTTTTCTTCCATCGACGAATTACATAGTATCTGTAGAAGAAATAAAATAGTATGCCAGCGACTACCAAAGTAGATAGAACTGCAGCAATAACAGCCTTCAGAACCACATGTTTCTGAGATGAGTTTGTTGGAGGTGGCCCTGGTATATCCATTTCAGCCAAAAAGTGAGTAGATAAAACTAGTCAGTGAAAGAACTGGTATACATAAGATCAATCAAGCTACTGTTGCATAGTTTGACAGAGGAAAGATGTAGAAAAGAACTGTTGGAATGATTTCTTGGTTGGACCATTTTCTGATCAAAGTGAAGGAAAAGAGTTTCTTCTTGTTTATATTTTCAATAACATATTCATTTTGTTATCATCTTTGGCTGCTTGACAGTTTCAAAGTAGGTTGTTGCTGTTAGTTGGCTGTCTTAAAAACCTTGTAAGTCCTTTGGTAGAAATGACTTTATTGTTTTTTGTCTAGCTGCAGAGGTGTTAAATGGACGAATAATTGACTTGCCCAAAGGTTGCTAGGGCTACTGAAATGAGATGGGTCAGAATGGCCGAGTTATTGACTCATCCAAAGCTGAAATGGGTCGAGTTATATATCAACCCAACTTTTATATGAAGTGAATTAGTTATAAATGAGCGAGTTATTGACCCTCCAACGCCAAATTAAGGCGGATTGAACAAGTCCAAAAATCAAGAAAGCTAGCCCTTGGAACTGTGTAAGTTTTGGCAACTTTGGAATTTTTTTGTATTTTGTGTGTTGTAGTCGGACGGTTGGTATAAGAAAAGTTTTACTTAGTCATATACTCTTTTATTATAAAAGAAGACATCTGTGTCAATGTGATACTTCATTTTCAACAAACAAATAGAAGATGATGATGTTGTTCCCTTTTTATAAGGAAAATGTCGTCTTTTTCTTTGTTTTATCCAATTAGTTGTCATCGTTGTATAATTTTGACATTAATCAGATTTCAAATTGAGATTTACTTCGAGAGGGAAAACCAATTATTTGTCAGCAGGCAAGTGACAACAATGTTTCGACCTCCTTTTTTTCATCAAATCTCGATTAAATTTGAATTCGTGTACCATTGTAAAATATATTTTACTCAATTTTTGGACAGTTTAAGTATTTATTTATTTTTTTGACATTTTTCTAACTACTCTATGTAGGAGCTTATTAATTTGGTATAAAAGTTGGCATGAGGAGATCATATTTGTAGCCACTAGTCAATTTCAAAATTTTGGACCAGTACCAAAATGACCTAAATATTCCTCCACCATCGTGTAGATGAAAGAGGAAAGGTACGTTACACTTCATTAAATACTCAATTTATTATTTTCAAAAAAATCCGTCTTAATGTTTATAATTTAATTAAGACGGATCTTTAGTGTCTTTCTAACTTTCTTAAATTTTATGTCAATCCAAACTGGATGATAGTACAGATTGGGATGGAGGAAGTACCCCAATATAATTTATTTGTCCTATTTTTTTCTTTTGCCGACTTTCTAATTTTAATTTATTACATAGCATATTTGAAATTACATAATTAAATAATATTTTGACATATTTAATATAAGTAGACGTATATCTTGAAAATATTTTAAAATTAATTTGAAGGATCCATATTAAAAATTTAAACAGACTAAGGTTTTCGATTAGAGTTATAACTTAGGTGGTTGTAGTTCCAATCTTTTAATGGAAAAGATTCAAAAAAAAATGTCTCTTTAACATTGAAAATGACTTACATGTATCTTTTTTTACTTACCTATTAGATTTAAACTGCGCTTTAATTAAGATTTTATATAAAAAAAATACTTTTTTTTTCATGTATTATACCCCTATTGTCCTTTACGTTTAAAATAATGTTGCTCCATTTAATGAAATTATGAGATGATTTATGTGGAATTTTCACTAAATATGTGGTGCTGATTTATTGGATCCTATGGAGAGAGAAAAATAATTCTTATTAATTGGTAATAATTGTACTGTTTTAGGGGGGATTGAGCGTAATAATAATAATAATAATAATCAATAGGACCACATTTAAAAAAAATAAAATTTAATTAATGTTATTAAGAGCAGTTAGGTGTGCAGCTCCGTTGTTCAGCTGAACACCGCTAAATTCTTATATTCTTATTAATTTTTTTCTTCTTTTATTTAATTGTTTCATTAATTGTTAACAAAATGACTGCAGTATTTATAGTAAAATATTTGCAAATGAAGTATCGAATTTGAAGTAATATAACACAGTACTATACTTCCTCTACAATATAGACATGAATTAATTTTATTACGAGAGTATAACCGAATGATTTTATCCGAGTATTGTTAAGTCTTATAAATTTAATATTCATTTAATTAATAATTTTTCTAAAATGATATTTCTTTGGTTTCGACTTGGGTTAATGAAAACACCCATTTTGATAAGATAATATATTTTTAAAAGACCCTATATAAATATATGGTCTCATTAATATTATAAATTAATAATTCGCAAGTACAAACATATTTAAGATAATTTAGTGATATATGATTTTATTGTGTTCTATTTTTTGTTAAACTTTAAATCTTGTTGGTCTTTTCGAACTGCACGTTAAAATCGTGAAGAGTTTAAATGTAATAAGTATTTTCTTACCCATAACTGATTCCAAATGTATTGTAGCATTTTCTACTTTATCATCAATATTATTTTTTCAATGTTATTCACAATTTCTTTCTAAGTTATGAACCTCTGAATATGTATCATTTTCACTCGTCCAACAGGTTAACAAGTGGGATTTCCATTTAAATTTTCTATGATTTCTTTCTCAAACGAATTTTGTTGTGTCGAAACATGCTTTAATATTCATAACAGTTAAATCGTTGATTAAATAATATCTTTATAAAGTAATAATATTTGACGGTCATACCTATATTAATTTAGTGAGATTTTACCATATAAGACGCTTTTTGAACTACAAACTAACTTCGCTATTCTCTCGGTCCCATATTAGTCAAGTATTATATTTCACTTCTCGAGAGCCAATATCACTAATCATTAAAGCTATATGGATTAGGTTAACTCATGATTGTAAAGTTACAATTTGAAATTTAATACTATCCAAAAAGTACTATGGGAAGGAGGGAAATACCAGTTACTTAATAACGAATGTACATACCAGCAAACTCAAAACACTAACCATGCTTAATTCTAACTTAATTTTAATTGACATAATACATAAACATAACATGACATTAGTTGACAACTATTACACTTAACTTTATATGTGCACAGGTAGACACTAAATTTGTATAAAATTAAACAAGTAGACACATTTGTCCTATTACAAGTAGGATAAATATGTCGACTTGTTCAATTTTATACAAGTTTAAGTGTCTACTTGTGCACATTCAAAATTAAGGATCATAATTGTCAACTAACGCTAAGTTAAAAATCATATTTATGTGTTAATGTCATTTTAATTTGATCGAACCAAGCAAACAAATGTAGTTCTAGTATTTTTGTGTTACGTGTTTCATATTTAAGAGTCCACCTACCAAGAAGCTTCAATCCAACCTTTTGCCTATTAAAAGAAAGTCAGTCATTGGAAAAAAAGACTTTTTATGAACATATTTTATACATTGGAGAATACAGAAAAAGAGACTATAAGCAGTGAGAATTCAACTTAAGTGGCCAAAATTGAAACTAGTAACGCCTTTAACGTAACAAAACAAACAAAATGCATACATAAAAAGATTTGGTTGCTAAGAAGGCAATGTCATAGCGCTAAAATGTCAATATCCCCGTTGGTTACAAAAAAAGAAAACAAGAAATCATTTGGATTTCTAATCTATTTCTACAGAGCTCATAAAAGGATCCAAAATGGTGAGCTAAACATGTACAACTGTAAGGGTATACACACAAAAGAAAGATGCTAGCAAAATGGTAACAACAGCAGCAGCTATTTATGGTATCTGTCATATCTTCTATCTATCCCTGTGCTATCCAATCTTGGATTGCTTTGACAAAGGCTGTTGAGATTCTGGTGATGACTCAATGTCATGGGCTGTAACTACAGGGGATGGTATTGATTGTGTCGTTGGATCGTCTTGAAGTTTTCGTTTTCTAGAACATACTTGTTCGATATTCTTCTCCGTTTCTTTGTTGTCATCCCCCTCGCCCCTCAGAATGAAGTCTCGGAGACGTTTAACATCAGACAGCTTAACAGGCTTCAGGAGAAATTCTTCAGCACCTTCCTCCAAACATCTATTACAAAGAAAACATCTATTCAATTAGTTGGTCCGAACTTACAATTGTGTCGTCTATGAATTCAGTAAATACCAAATATATATACCAAAATCAACAGTTTTCTTCAACTAACAGGCAATTATATACTATTGATGAAGCGATGTATGCTCCGCAAATACTTTTTCCGAATTCAATTTAATCAATAGTCCTCAATTCTAGAGAGACAAGAGTACAATATTGCCAAATACTCCTAGACTTGCACAAAAACACAAATGCAAAATATTCTACATATGTACATATCGATTGAGTCGAAAGCCATGAGCTTAGTTGAACTCATTCGACCTAAGGATTCTACAATGTATTGAAGTGTAATAATTTGTTCATCATATTTATCAATTGATGGTCAAAAGAGGATATACCTATCAATGCGAGGCAAAATCTTCTCCGATGACATGATAACAACGGGGATCTTGCTCAACACCGATGATTCCTGTTAAACAAGAATGAAATTGTCATTCACCATTATCAGGAAAACAACAAAATAAAGGCCAAAAGAGACATGAATTGAACACCAAAACAAATCCCATTATCAACCAACCTTGATTTTTTTGAGAAGTTCATAGCCAGTCATCCCAGGCATAGAATAGTCCGTCAGTATTAGATTTACCTTCAAACCCTGAAACCAAAAAAAAAAAATTCCAAATTCCTTTACAACAAACTCGCACAAAAGTAAAATCACCAAATAAGGAAAATCAAAATTAGATGACACATTTTCATCTCATTCAATAAATAGAAACCACAATCTGTCAATTTTTCCCTAACAGCTTTTAACATGCAACCAAAAGGTCTGATTTTTAACAAACTACTAAACAGAAAAGTGTTTATACATACATCAATCCCCATAGAACTCTTCTCTCCATCTAACCCCAAATACTGCAAAGCCCTCGTTCCACTTTCCACTGCTGTAACTGCAAAAGCAAAAACAACCCCATCAATACACATTTCAACAAACACCTGATAAACACAAAAAAAAAAAACAGAGTCCATTTCAACTGACAGAAAACAAGAAAAAAGAACCAACCTTTACAGCAAGAGATCTTTAATAATCTCTCAATAACTTTCCTATCAACATGACTATCATCAACAGCAAGAACATGCAACTCTTGTGCCATTTCCATATTACCAAAAATGGGGTCTTTTTAATACTCTGTTTCCAAAAATGGTCCTCTGTATTTCTGTTTCAAGAAAATCGAATAGAAGTAGAAGGGAATAAAGGAGATTTCAATTAGTTGAGTTGGGTCATGTGGGGAGGATATATAGTAAAGGAAGAAATCTACTTTAGAGACTGATGAAGAGATACTGAAAGATCTTACAAAATCTACACCGCATTATCCCACTTGTCCCCCTATGTATCTCACGCTATTATTATTAAATTCGATCCAGAGGGGTGGGGGGTTTGCTTTTTACTCTCTCTAACATATTTTTCGTCATATACTTTAAAAAAAAAAAATTCTCCTAATACACTCTATACTAATGAAATATAAATTTTAGAATAGAACGATGTTGCTATTTCAAAAAAATTTGTCTTTATCATAAATTAAAATATCATATAAATTAAAACAGAGAAGACGTTTAATTATAGAAATATTCGTAATAGCCAATGTGGGTAGTGTCGTGCTTGTTAGTGGGACCAGGTGCCATGAACACTGTTTGTGGTCACTAACTTTGACCCCTGTGTTGTCACTTCCTTTGACCCTCTGTATATTTTCTTCTTCTCAATAAAAAGTAATCATACAGTAAATTTTAAACCAGGGTAATATTTTTTTTTTATTTTTTACTTTGATTAATCTGAATTTAAAGTTACCTCTGATCAACTGTTTAATGATGGACATTATGTGTTCCATAGTATCTAATAATAAATATGGTCCACTCAAATCTTGGATTTTTTGTTTTAAATGTATATATATATATATGAAATATTTAAAGTATTTAACCATAAATTAAATTTTTGTTGTGTATCAATTAAAAAGCAATATAGAAACGAAAAGAAGTATAATGATTTCACATTATTAATAGTGTTGGATAAAGTAGATTGTGATTTTAAATTGGAACACGTTGTAAATTCAAAATTTAGGGGGAAAACAAAGAATATGATTTTACTTTATGAATGTTAATTTATTGCACAAGATAATTCAAATATCTTTTAATCTCCGACTTTATAATACAATAACTGGCCACTAGCCCACTAACGCTATAACGTTAATAAAATTATGAATTTTGTATTTTTCTACTTCTTATTTGGAAACTTCAGATATAATAAGAAAGAAGTATCAAATACAATATTAAATGATAGTACTGTATTTTTCTATTGAAAAAAATAGTTGAGTCAAATGAGATTAATTACCTTAAATTTTAATTAATTAATTCTGCAAATTGAAAAGAAGGGTTGGAATTTGAAAAGGTGAACTAAGGGGAAAACGTATATAAAAACCTAACGTTTGCATTAAAGGACATTAATTAAATTATATATGTAGATTGACGTTATTTCATATTTATATATATTATATTATCACACTACATTAAAAATAAATTTTAACGATAATTAATTAGCAAAATATATTTTTTTTTTACAGTAACTAACACTCTTTACATATGTCTTGACTTTAGCGATGTTAAATTTAATAACACTTGTCACTAAATTAATGACGATAAAAATTTCAACAATCTTTATTAATAAATTTTTTTTATTGCCGCTAAAAATTATTTTTTTTGTTTATGTTAATGAATTAGATTTAGTGATAAATATGCATATAAATGACTAATATTATATCTTTACAAATTTAGTTTTCTCTTATTTGATCGTAAATTTTGAAATTAAAATTTAAAACTTATTATTTTATGTAATGATAAAATTTGAAATTAAAGTTAAAAATTTTCAAAAAATTTATGAGGAAACGTTGGTGTAAATATTATGTGCATGTCAACATTTTGGCCGACTATATTGTCTCCCACTTGTGTGGTTTGTTGTTTAAATGTTTCCTATTGGACAGTGGTCAATTGGCTTTATTAGCATCTTAAATATTGTTTTGAATATTTTTACGGCATACAGTGATCAAATTTAACAATGAATTTAATGATTATTTAACTAACACAAGCCCACAAAATCAATGAAAAGATACTCAGATTTTGTCAAAGCTCCTATGCACTTAATAAAATATTAATCGTACTATGGAAAACTATTAACAATTCAAAGTTTGAACCTACCACTTGGTGTTCATTGTGCTCTAATGAATTATTAAAAAATATCAGGCATTTTATTTCCAAAGGGAAGATGACAAACAGAATCGAATCAACGATTCTTCTTGAGGACAGGAAGATAAAATCCTAAATAGTTTAATTTAATTTAAAATGTAGCAAAACAGAAACTTAACTAAACTATACCAACATGGAAAAATGATCACGTTCATAACACTATCCCCGCTCTATTTTACGTGAATTTAAATTCAATCAAATTTTATTTATTTCACTTAATAATATACCATTATTTTCGTAGACTTTGTAAGAGAACTAAATGACAAATAAGCCTCGGACGTAACTATCGTTAATGCATGCAGATACTTTCGTCATACTTTTAGTATATTGATATCCTGTCGTCCAAAAACTAAATCATATATTTTCTTCATTCTATGGAAGATTAAATAATGATACGTGACACATTCTTATCTATCGATCCGATATTTAATAAATATCGAATCGATAAATAAGATTATGACACGTATAGATCTATTAGTATAAAAAGTATATATACTTTAATTTTTAACGACAAAAAAAATCAATATCTCAAATATATAACGAAATATTTATATATTAACTTGAGGTATATTTTTATTTTTTTTCCCATGAAAAAAAGTGTGTATTCACAAATGGTTGACTAAAATTCAAAGTGGAAGTGTTTGACAAATAGGCGGCGTCCATAAGGAGAAAAGGCGCCTCCAGTATTTGGACAAAGTCTATAAATGCACCCAAAATCTTCAAAATTTGATTCAACAGTCACACCTCCAATCTCTTCTTTTCCCAAGAAATCTTATTTGTACTAAAATATTGCTACTATCTTCCAACAAACAGATCAAATTTCAATTAATATAGTATCGTAATCCTTTTTAGTTTTAGTTTATTTAGATTCTAAATTAATACAACATCGTAATCCTTTTAATTCTCTTCACATGTTTCTATTATTTTATACTTGTGCTTTTCTTATCTCGTTTCAAATAAATATTACATTCACTTTATCTCGTATTTTTTTTAATTTATAATTTATTTTTACAAGAAGATGATGACGTGTATATATATATATTCTTTTCGTTCGAAATTGTATTTTTTTTAAAAGTTAATTTGATTACTTTTCAAAATTAAATTAGATCACATTAATTCGATATTTTTAAAAAAATATTAGATATTCTAAAATTATATGAAAAATACTACGAATTGCAACTTTTTGCATGTTAATATGATGGAAAGTACATCTTAAAATATTAGTCAAAGTTTTTATAGTTTAACTCTAAAAATGAAAATAATGACAAATAATATCCGATGAAAGGAGTATTATTCTATGCAAAATAAAAGTTAGAATAAGTTATATGCGAGTAATTTACTTTATGATATTTATATATGTATAACTCTAATCAGCTATATTACGAGTTCGATAAGTTTTGAAAAAAGAAAAATATGAAATAAAAAAAAAAAGAAGCTCCAAGCAGCAGGGAGAGATTTGAGTGGACAGCCAAACTAAATCTTTTTGATCTTCAATCAAATCTCTTAAACAAAAAAGTGAACTTTTTCCAATTAAGTAAACTTTGGATTCTATTTGTTGAGATTCGCCTGAAAATCGCGGAATCCCAAGTAAATTACTTTGCACGTTCCGTACTACCAAAGAAATCACCTTTTACTTCAAAGTAAATTACTCTTTGTTTTAATTTATATTATGTAATTTGATATCATACAAATAAAAATTTCAAAAAAATTGAATTATAATTTAAAATATTTTTTTTATGTGATGATAAATTATTTTTTTTAAAAAAATATAATAACAGTACAAGTTAAATCGTTTTTCAGCTTAGAAAAGTAATATTTCTTTCAAATAATTTTACAAAAGTGTGTACCGTAAATCAAAACAAAAGGTTAAAAAAAAAGGATAGGAACAGTATTTTCCTAGTCCTGCGATATTGTTAGGTTCTGTTGTGAGCAGGGTGATTGACATTGCAAGTTAAAAGACCAATCAACATTAATGTTACTGTTACTACGAATTTTTTTGCTTTTATTCCATATAAATTGATAGTGAGGCTTCAAAACTTGAAAATAAAGTCGTTAATTGTGATGGAGTAATAGATATTTCTTGATTCTTAATTAAAAGTTTTGAATTTGAGTTATTTTGAATAGGGAAAAAGCTTAAATATGCGATCAAATTTTTAGAAAAGGCTCATTTATGTCATTCATTTAAATTTTGGCTCATTTATATCATTATTGTTAAAGAAAAGACTCATTCATGTAATTTTTTGAACTCCGATTTTGCAAAACTATTTTTACACACCAAACAAGGTTTAACACTTTTGTATTGGTGTTTTTTGGATCAAATGTTTACTTTTTAAAAGCATTTTTTACACACCAAACGGATGACATAAAGAAGTCTTTTCTAAAAGTTCGATGACATATAAATATAGTTGATTATGTTAGAAAACATTCTGAAATTTTTTAATGCGAATATAACTTTAAACGAAATCTAACATCAATACTGATATCAAGTGGAAACCCCAAAAAAAAAAGTGCAAGGATGATATAAAAATTGTTCTTTCTATTTCCTTTTATTATGGAATGAGAAAAATATTTTTGATTATACTTAGCGAGAGGGTCTGATAAATATCAAATTATCAAACTGAACTTTTGATATTGTGATTTTAATATTATGATACTTGATAATTGACAAGTGTTTAAAAATAATATTATAATACTAACAAAGATTTACAGTAGATTAGTAGAAATTAATTATTTAGCTGTTCAAATTTTGATTATTCTATTTTGATAGAAATGTTATATGTATATAACACAAATAATTTCTAGTTTCTTTAAAATACAACATGTGTATGGCGTTTTTATGATACTATTGAGCCGTTTTAAAAAATTCGAGATCATAATTCGAGTATACATAAGTCAGTATCAAATAGATCATAATTATTGATTTAGTGTATCTTGAAATATCGAAATAGACTTATAAATTTAATTTGATACTCCTTTTAGTCACAATTTATGTAGTAATTTTTGAATTTTAAAATTCAAGCAAGTCAATTTTTTACAGTAAATTTTTTATATGTGTGTTTCATTATTTTGTATTGGCAATTCTTGTGACTTATAAT